CAACAGGTCACACATGTCCTCCTTGTGTGAGGAAGCATCTCCTGGACATTAAGGTCTTCGTGTACTCCATCATCACTTGCACTACACCTCACGGACAATGAGGTCATTGCAGAGAAGACCATGCCTCAAATTATACTCAGGCAAGAATTCTCCACCTTTGAGTTTGAAGTCCTTCAACAAGACAGGTCCCAGCTACTATTCACCCACACAGGGGACAGAGGGTACCTCACGGCTGAGCAAAGAGGTGAGTGGAGAGAACACCAGGATGTAGACTCTCTTCTATTTAACTAAACAAAATGAGGAAATGGAAGCCTCCCCTCCCCCCGAGCATCACCCAACCCTTTGGGTTGGCCATGACGCTCTCATTGGCCCACATTTTGGACAGTGGTAAGCCTTGATAGGGAGAAATGTGCAAGAACACTCTTGACTGTTCTCCAGCCTTGCATGAGGCACCCTACCACTGACGTGCGTTGGTCCATGTGAGGTTCAAATTGTACTTCCTGCTTTAAATTCATGCTCATCAGAAACAATGGAAGCTGGATCAAGAGCTGATGCAATGCCCAACCACCATCGATCTGAGCCGGGAGCCACGTGCGCCAGCTTTGGTGACCAGTAAAGACGATGCCAACCACCTAATTCTCTGTTGTGCTTTCTCATCAGACCACATTACTCTTTACAAAGAAGGTTATTGTGATTACAATGTACCGTGAAGTAGGACATCTAAGCATGTTTCATCTTTAACACACCTGCTTTGAGGTCTGTTTTCAGTGCGTATCTGTTTTACAGTGCCCATAGTATCTTTGTGTTTTGGTAAGCCTGGGTAAGTCAGCTGACTGCTGTCCCCTCAAATGAATTACTCAGGAGCTCATAATATGACTCTAGAAACAAGGTCTTTTCGGATGTAATTAAACGAAGCCACAGGGGATTAGAGGAGACCCTGAACCCAATGCCTGGTATCCTCTGAAGAGGAAAGAGAAAGAAAAGGGAGAGAGAGAGAGAGAGAGAGAGAGAGAGAGAGAGAGAGAGAGATGAGAAGGCATAATAAGACTAGACCAATGCAGCCACAAGCCAAGGCATGTCAGAGCTACCAGAAGCTACAATAATCAAGGCTTCACTTTGAACCTTTGGGAGGAAAATAGGACTTCTGACATGGTGATTCCAAATTTCTGGCCTATAGAACTATGAGAAGAAATGTCTGTTGGTGAGGGCCAGCCAGTGTGTGATAATTTGCTCGGATAGCTGTTATAATCTGAAGGTGTGCCCTCAACGAATGCATATGCTGAAATACAATCATCAGAGCAATAGTACACATCAGGGAGCATTTCTGGAGAGGTGATTAAGGCTAAGAGTAATGCCCTGATTAGTTCCTTTTTAAAGAGACTCCCAAGAATGGCTTTGCCCCTTCCACATGAAGAGACAGAGTAAGAAGATGCAATCTATGAGCAAAGGACCCTACTAGACATGTAACCAAGCTTCTGTCATGTGCACCTTGGACTTCCAAGGTTGAAACCATTAAGAAGCCAACGTCTCTTGTCTATAAGTTGCTCTGCCTGGAGTATTTTTGTTGTGGTAGCAAGCAGATTAAGACAACAGCCCCTGAAAATTTTGTGCACTGGGATCATAGTTTATTACAAAACACACTCCTGGATAAGGTGCGGGATGATGATGAGTCGGAGGTGCTGTCCTCTGCCTGCTCTGTGTCCTTGCAGAGCCGAGGCCTAGAATTTCAAAGGGGTCTCCTCACCTGACCTCCAGCCATTTCCTCTCTACCTGAAATCTTTACTCAAAAAGTTTTCTCTCTTTCCATCATGTGTAAATACTGTCTACTGCTCCTGGCTTGTGCTCACAGGCTGGTGATCTTCAATGCTTCTTATCATACCTGTGTGACTGCACTGTACTGTACAGCCATGTGGAAGTGTACCTTTCTCACACTGATTTGTGTCACACCTGTAGGGTTGCCTAGAACTTTCCATGTTAAAGTTATGCACACCATATCTAGTGTTTTCAGCTGGATCTGGAGGGAAGGGCCCAGAAAAATGAGGGCTGTACCCTTGGGATAGCTCTGGATATGCCTCTAAGAAACTCTATGGAACACATAATAGGACTCTCAAATTTCTAAGGGACATGAAAAAGGCTGAGAATAATTACACTGAAAAAAATCCCTGGGACCCAGAAAAGACTTTTGTAGTGCCAAATAACGGAAGTCCTTTCATAAGAAGTGCGTAGGAAGTCTCTTACCTCACTTGAAAATAAAACTTTAAAACTGAGGTTAGGTATAATTCACCCATAGCTTTGTAGTAGGCTAATGAGAAAAAGAGTTGGTATTATACTTGATTGTACAATGAATATTGTTACTATGGTCACAGTAGTCAGAAATAGAGAATCTGTCAGTCAGCTGGTCATAGCAGTTCTCACCTATAATCCCAGTAATTACATGGTAGAGATGACAGAATGGAAGTTCAAGACCAGTCCAAGCCAAAAGTCAGCAAGACTCTATTGCAGAAACAGGCCATGCATGGTGGTTGATACCTATAATCACTTCTTGGGGAGGCAGAGATTGGAGGACTGTAGGGCAGGGATAGTTTAGGAAAAGGCACAAGACCCTGGTTTTAAAGCAAAGTAAAAAAAAAAAAAAAGCAGAAGGCAAGGAAATTGCTAATGTAATAAGTAATAGAGCGCTTGATTAGCAAATCTGAGGCCCCAAATTCTATCCCCAGAACCTCAAAAAAAAAGTCAGATTTGGGTTATACTTTTAGCTCTCCAAGATTCAGTTGGCCTATATGTAAAACAGGTATTGCAAAAAGTCATGTTCCTTTTTAATGTTTTAAAGCAACCTGGAAAGGTTTCCGTTAAATAATAAATATAAAATATTTCATGCTGAATATGAGTCATACTAACTAATTGATTTTAATTATCATCATTATTAAAACAGTAATGGACCATTGTAAATGTAATCATCATCTTTTTATGAGGAAAACCCATGATAAACCCAGGCTGGACAAAGTCACACTTGCTCTCTGTCTCAATTTGTTGTTGAGAAATGAGACATGGGAGAGGAACTGTCCACTGGGGTCCACCCGGAGGCTGCTGACAGTGAGCACAGGGACAGGAGTCCTGGACACAAAGGGTGGGAACTGCAGTCATTCTCTTCCAAGCCCATTCTTTGTAGAGGGAACTGGCGCATGCTTGGTACAAGGTCAGGGAATAAATAAATAAGCACAGAGATTTTGTATCAAAATAAATGAGTGTGCGTGGTGTGGGTTATATAGAAAAATGAGAGAAAGCAGAGGTCTGAAGAGATGGAGAGGGGCTGATGCTGGAGGTACTAAGGTAGAGGTGGTGTGGGCATGCGGCTGACTTAAATAAATAAATTTAAAACTCTCAGGAGCTCTTCCAACTCGGAGAGTCTCATGCAGTGAATGCTGGATAGCACTCTTCTGACATTTCAAGGTAAATAAATAATTACTACACATTTGAAAACTAAAAATCCTTCTATTGGAGAAAAAGTTTATTTTCATGAGTGGTACATACCTGTAATCCTTGCCCTACAGAATCTAAGATAGGAGGATCATGAATTATGTAGCCAGCCTGGGCTACAAAGCAAGACCCTGATTCAAAATAAAAAGTACTCTCAACTTCCATACACAATGTTAAATACGAGTATTGCCAATTCAATGATACATTTTTCTAGTTTAGCATTGCTTAATAGTTGACTGTTGTTCAATTTCTATGCATTTTCAGTTGAGCATTAGGAATAAAAATATTTAAAATAGTGGTGAGTTATAATCTGAAGAATATTCTAAACAAGAATACTTAAAATTTAAGGCCGGGCTTCAGTATCAAGACTTCAGAAGAAAGTTCTATTGACTCTGAAATCTAGAAAACCAGCACCCTGAACATGCCTCTCATTTCTCAGAGTAAGCAGTGAGCACTTATTAAAATCCAATTTTATAATGGAGGTTGTACCCAATACAGTATTTAGCAAGGACCTTCCAAGTGGATTTGATTTGTACTACGTTGGCTTTCTTAAAGAATACCGTAAGTTCGCTCTGTCCTTCACATTGGTATTAGTATTTCTTTTTGTAAAGGAGTCTATGGATACTTCTCAATACAGCACACAGGAATCCATAAGCTCAGTCAGTGAAAATTCATCAAGACGGATTTTAAATTTATCACCACAATCAGACGACATGCCCTACCATACGGAAACACCAGAAATCTGATGTATCTGTAGCATTCAGAGATACAGAGTATATGTGTGTGTGTGTGTATAAATATTATATGTATAATATATATACAATTTATATACAATATATAATATTTATGGGGCTCTATCTGCCCAAATCCAGTGGCTATGAATAAAATATTATTTACCCCTACAGGGAATCAATTCCAACTTGAGAAATAGAGCATTGCTTAATCCTCTCCATTGTTGGAGAAAAGAAAGAGAAAAAGAAATACCCAAAAGTAAGTTTCTTTAATCAACTATTCCACAGTTTTTGGTTATCAATTCCCAAACAATTTTATTCTAATGTTTATTTGCAGACAGAGAGAAATGAAGGTAATATAGAACTTGTAAAGTTTTTAGACTTGGAAGAATGCCTTGGCATTCTGATAAATAGAAGAATACGCAATGACAGAGAATGCTTCCAATGATACCATAAAGCACCTGACTGAGATAATCACCCATCTCCTGGCCTCTTGTTTGCTTCCACTGTAAGAAAGACAACTCCAGATCTCATGAAATGACCTACAAATGACACCCACGACAATTGTCATCTCTGTTTCTTTACCTATCTTGGTACTGAACCACAGAAGAAAACAGGAATACCCACATTAGAGGCCCAAGCCCAGAGCATAAACCCTAAGAAAAGACAACACTTTCACATTTAGTCAGTGTCACAAATGTAACTGGGATTTGTTTTTGATGATAACGGCATTCAAAATACTCCGTGGTAAAGCATCTTTGAACATCTCAGGGAGACAAAGAGTTCACCCACCTGGGATCTTTCTGAATGCTGTCGATGGACGGGGACCTGGCCAAGGTGCCTTCGGGCGGGAGGGCAGGGCCGGACTTGCTGTATGGAGACTCCACAGAGGGACAATACTGCAGCTGTCGGTAGGGGTCAGCGTAGTTGGAAGCCGGGCCCGCGGCGTAGCTGGCCCGCTGGAAGGTGGCTGTGGCTGCGCTCTGTGGCCCATGCTGGCTTCCTGTGCGCTGCAAGGGGACGGAGTCGACACCAGGAGAAGAAGGGGCTAGGACAGGAAAGTAGGGACAAAGTAAAAAACTGAGGACCTGCTCACAGAAACGGTTAACCAGGTCTAGGCAGGGGGGAAATCACACACACATAAAAAAAAGGGGGGGTTTGAAAGAATAAAAAGAAATCAATCTGTTATATAACCCCATTTATTCAATGCTAGCCCATCAAGTGATAATTAATACACTTCTTCAAATACAAGTCTTACAGTTGGTTTGATCATGGACACAACACATCTAGGGTATGCCTACTAACAGCCAAGGAGAGGTGTCTTCACCTGAAATGTGAACTCTGTATAAAATGGAAACCCAGTGCTGGTGGCTTATGCCTGTTATCCTAGCTACTGAGGAGGCTGAGATCTGAGGGTTGTAGTTCAACGCCAACCCAGGAAGGAAAGTCTGTGAGACTCTTTTTTTTTTTTTTGTCAGTCGTGGGGCTTGAACTCTGGGCCTGGGCGCTGTCCCTCAGCTCTTCAGCTCAAAGCGAGCGCTCTACCACTTGAGCTACAGCGCCACTTCTGTCTGTGAGACTCTTATCACCAATTAACTACCAAAAAGCTACAAGTGGAGCTGTGGCTCAAATAGTAGATGGCTAACCATGAGTAGAAAAGCTTAGTGACAGCATCCAGGCCCCAAGTTCAAGCCCCATGACAACAGAACAACAATAGCAACTAAAACACCCCAAAACCAAAAGCCACAACCCAACACCAATGCTGAGACCCAAGCTGCCAATGTAGCTCGGTGGTCCAGCGCTTGCTTGCAAGTATGCAAGGAATTAGGCTTGATTTTCCCTCACCATTTGAAAGTAAAATCCAGAAGCAGCACAGAATATTTTGTAAGGAAGCATGGATGATTTTGTTGTTCAAGTTTAGAAATTTCTGGCTGTGTTTCATCAGCGTCATAAGTATATCTATATATCTATATATATCTATATTATATTATTATTATTATGTTATATATATATATATAGATAGATAGATAGATATCAAATTTAGGAAAGAAGTAATTTTCCTGAATAGGAGACTCCATAGGAAATAAGTGTAGGTCGGGTGTGGGTTTCCATAATTACTACCACCTCTGACCATGCAAGGCTGCTCTCCTTTCTGTAAAGAAACTCCCCAAAGATTGTGAGGTGACTGTATTTCAAGTAAAGCTGTCATAAAAACAAATGCATTTGGTGAAAGGCAGACCTGTGGGAGAAGGAGGAGAAAACCAGCCCAACTGCAAGGCAGACAAAATAACAAGCTGACTTAGCTTTTCCCAAAGTGTGTGCCTTTCTTTACTATGTCGAAGTTGTTCTGAGAAGGTGCTCACACAAGTTACTAGAAATCAGGTTGACAATTTCCAAACTGAATCTCTATCTTTGTTTCCTTCCTTGATTCTTTTTAGACCACTTCATGTCATTACTTTGATCTGGTTCTCAGAAATATTTATCATACTTTAGTTGCCATAGATGATAAAAAGATCATTTTTTATATGCATTAACTGTAACTGGTTCTTTAATGCTCCAACTGTGAGTTATGACTAGTATTAGACAATATAGTCATCACTATAGATCAGAATATACCAGAATTGTAGCTATTGGGTAGATTCAATTTCTGAGACCATCAGTGCTTCCCTGGATTAGATTCCAAGTATAAATCACATACCAAAACTCTCGATTTCTGGAGTATTACTTAAAGTTTATTTTACCTTCCCTAACATCAGAGGCCTATGTGAAATCAAACACACACACACACACACAAATTATGCTACGTTGAGAAAAAATGTTAAGAGTTGTGCTATATTCTTATGGTGAAAAACAACTTTTAATAAGGATTTCAGGGCTTCTCTTTTCCAATAAACGTCATATCTTATAGTAAAAATTTGGAGAGTATTCAACACAATTATAATGAAAATTGCAAAATAGTTAAGACAAATTTTCTAAACAAATATGCACATATTCCCATATAAGTGGAATTTTGAAATGATGAGGATTGTCCTGATCTGTATGTTTCAAGAACAATCAAATTGGGATAATAAACATAAAACACATAAGCAGAAAACCAGCTTTAAGGCATACAATTGTTAGGATTTATGTTTTCTTCAAAACATTGCTAGGATGTCTAACTAAAACTTCCATGTTAAAATTTATAAACAATGCAATTTATACTATGCTTAAAGGAGTTTAAAATCTAGGCAGGTCAACAGAGGTAAACAAAATTTCATTTTCTGCAAGAGTTGTTATAAACCAGCCAGAAAACCAAGAGGAAAAAAAGAAAGAAAGAAAAGAAGAGAAAGAAAGAAAGAAAGAAAGAAAACTAATCATACCTGACATTTTTTCATAGAAATCCATTTTTTTTCCACTCAGGAAATTCAATACCAAAGCTTAATCTTGCTAAAAACAGACTGTAGAAAAGCTCTTTTTTTTTTTTTTTTTTGGTAACTATACTTACAGAGAGTGATTCCCAGGAATGGAACCCAAGTCGGGGATGGGTAACAATCCTGAAATCCAAGGCGGCCTGTTTTATCACATACCCCAAGGGTAGCTAAGAGGAACTATCTGACCTCTGCCACACAGAATGGCTTGAAGTTATACCCAATTATAACAAGAGGGGAGGAGTCTGGGGAAAACACTGCCAAGGAGGAGACCAAAATTCGTGAAGAGTATAAGGGAATTGGGTGGACATGTGAAACTAAGTGTGAGATTCACTTATGCAGAGACAGAAAAGCTCCCTCTATATATCAGGAGGGAGGAGACCAATGGGTCTTTGACTTTGGCCCCTTTCCTCAGAATTCATTCGGAGCTGCGTTTATCAAGTCAGACAACTGAGTTCCTGCTTTGGACGTTCCTGCACTTCTCAGCTAGAGTTTCAAAGTTGGTGAAGAAACAGAATGGTAGCATGGTATTGCTGTTTGAGTTTAAGGGGGGAAAGCCTTAAATACTTAATGTGGAGAAAGTATCACAGACATAAGCCATTCTTACCGCTGCTATTGTCAGCACCGGTGACATCAGCCACATTGGATGGTGTGTACTATGTCCTGGGGTCTGGCCTATTGCCATAAGTGGGAGGTGACTCCTCTGGCCCCTGGCGCTGATCTAAGTGCCTTCCTCACTGGGACTCACAGCTTACCCACCAGTCCTGCAGGAGGGTCAGCTTGGCATTTTCTACTTACACCTGAGGCTCTGCAGCCTACAGTGCAGAAGCCACTGGGCAGGCTGGTCTCCAGTAGAAAAAGAACTCAAGTTATTCAGTCTCCAGAGAAGTGTATTACATTATGGTAATGGTCCTTTTTTATTTGTTTGTTTTGTGTGTGTATTGGTTGGTCCTAGGGCTTGAACTCAGGGCCTGGGCACTGTAACTGAACCTTGAGCTTTTTGCTAGAGGCTAGTGATCTACCACTCAAGCCACAGCTCCATTTCTGGCTCACAGACTTTTCTGCCCAGGTTGGTTAAGAACCTTGATCCTCAGGTCCCAGCCAAAATGAGTAGGTAGGATTACAGCTGTGAGCCATGGTCTCCTGTGGTAATGGTCCCTTTTAAAACAGCATAAATGACTATGATTGAATTACCTAATATGACAAGAAAAGTTGGAAAACTAGAGGAAGAGAAATGTCTACTGAAGAGAGAGAGAGAAGTCAGAGGGATTAACTGTCTGTAGATCATATTGTAATAAAAACAATGCAGAATGGCATATAAATTAATTTATTCTTCTAAATAAATTGCATATATTGAAACATTATAATACATGTCTATAATTACCTAATACATGAGATATGTGTGAAAGAATGCTAAAAATCTGATTTTGCTCATTTTCAGAAAAAAAATCAAAGAATGGTATTACATATAACGGTCTTGCTTTTACTTTACAGAATGTTGAGTCTGAGTTCAGTGATATTATGTTAGGAATAAGGGGGGCTGGGATACAGAAAAATTTTCAGAAAACTCATAAGAACTCAAAATCGTTCCTGTAGTTTTGGCTTTGGAAATGGTCACCTCTGCAGGAGTATTCTTCCTGATATTCAGGTGAAGGGAGCTTTTCAGAACTGCAACAGTGAAAATCAGAAATCAAATCTAAACTGTTCAATTAAAATATACCTATGAATCTGAGAGAAATGTAGAATATCAATGCAAAGAGGGAGAAAAAGAAATACATTAAAAACAGGTTCTGTAATAATACAGAACAAAGTGTGTGAAAACCTAATGGCTCTCAGACAAACCATTAATGATGCAACTATGTCATCTTTATTTTTTTTAATATTCATTAAAAAGCTATCCTATGAATTTTGGGGGTCGTTGTTTACTGTAAGTGAATTAAAAGTGTTAAATATCTAATATGCTGAAACTCATTAATGAGTTACAGTTGTTAGCATTAAAAATGTTGATCGTTGGTGGTGGTGCAGGCCTGTAATCCTAGCACTAAGGAGGCTGATATAGGAGGATCTGAAATGGGGGGCATCTGTGCTGTATAGGGAGTCACTGTCTCACAAAATAATGTTGATCATTTAGGGTACTGTACCTGCGGCATTAAAATGAGACATTATAGAAATTCAGGGCTCTGATTCTCTCCCGATGATTTTGGCCTTGGTGTATAGTATGCGAAGTAGGACTAGACATCCATATGGCGAAATGGATTCCACTGTCCATTTATTCATACACTGACACCATTCCTACATTTTCCTCCTTAATAGCAACTCAGTTAAACATTTTCTCTTATCTGAGTTGCTCAGCTCCACTCAGCTCTTGTAGTCTGGCTCCTCAGCTAAACTTCTCCATGGCAAATCTCTGAAGGTAAGGGCTTTATCTGCTGTGTAAACACTTCCCCGCCTCTGCCCTGCTCTGCAAGCAACCCTTCTCCCCTCCACAAGCTCCTAGAACTCAGTGAACTATGTCCCTGATCTCTTAGGCAGAGTTAACAAGCAGCCTCTTCTGCAGTGGCCTTGACTCTTCAACAGATTCCTTCAGGCTCATGAAAGTACCTGTTTGTTTTCTGGAGGGCTACACAAACAAAGCCCACTT